AACATTCTGGTCTTGGTACTATGCGACACCATCTTGCAAATTGCTTATTGGAAATAAAAATTAGTGAATTCTAATCTCTATTTTTTAATTTAGGATAATAATCTTTACGAGCATGTTGCAACTACAGCCATCAAGCATCTGAGATGTCACAACAAGAATCAGAGTATCATAGTGACAGGTGATAGYGGATCAGGCAAAACTACACTATCCAATCAGATAGTTGCATTCATTACCAAGGAGTCCACTGACCATGACTTGGCTCAGTGCGTCATCCAGGTTAGGTTGGCTTATTTATAACATTTATGTTTTAAATTATTATCATTAATTTTTATATTTATAATTTAGTTTAAAATAGGAATTTTGAGTGGAGGTGGGAATGGTACAGGAGTGGATAAATTATTATCATAATTATGTTTATATAATTGTAGGCAGGAAAAGTACTAGAATCATTTGGAAATGSATGCACTTCAAGGACTGACAATGCAAGCAGATTTGTCAAACTTACTGAGATWTTTTTCACTGAGGAGATCTACTTCAAAGGAGGTATTAATGCTTTTTCTCAGGGTGCTCAATTTCATTACTCAGCTCAGACATATAATAGTGGATACAGTAGCTGTTTACTGTTATAATTAATGCTTGATTCTTTAAACTGAACATGAATGAATAATAAWTAAATTTGAATTTTTTCTGGGTCTGGCTGGCCATTTCTGACAAATGAAAAGCATCCTCAGTCCCAACACATTTATGGGTCATTTTTTGCTTCTCGACAAGTTATTCATCCTCTTTCTCAAACATCCATTTTTCAAAAAATATAACGACAATACAATGCAGTATGTAGTTAGTACTGACCATATTTTTTTTATTTTATTACATTTTTCAGTTTATTTTCATCACTCCTTGTTGGAAAAATCAAGAGTTGCACAACACAAAAAGGTACATTTCTGTCCAATATTAACTCARCAGTGTTCGTATAMACMRCATGAAAAAGAGGCATAATATTGTAAGATGTCTTTCTCCTGCCTTTCTGCAGCTTATTTTTAAAAAACAATTGTATGGCAGATATTTTGAAGAAAAGACATGGAACGAAATAATTATAGCTGATATATGGCAAACGATATGTGCTTAAGAACATTTTCAAGCTTTGTTTAAACCTATAATAATTCTTCAAAGCTTCTTAATACTTTGCAGAAAATAGAATGTAGGCATACATTTTTAAAAAACTCAAAGACAAAATGCAATACAATGTTTTGCAAAAATATACAAAGATTTGATCGTTGAAATGTCTGAAACTTACCATATTGTATGTTTTCTACCTCAAATTAACAAACATTAAAATCTAAACAACAAAAAAATCACTGAAAGGTGACCATAAACTTAAAATAACTGTAGTTGTAGCTTTTTGGCTCAGATTAATCCTTTTTTCTGTGTTTCTTCTTTACAATGAAAAATGATTTTGTTTGCTTTGACTGTTGGTAAAGAAAATAAATAAAAACAATATCAGTATTAGATAATATATAATTAGAGTAATTTTCCAATGTTGACACAATATAATTATAAAATTATAAAAAAATAAAAAAACAAGTGATTTTTTCCCCGAAAAATTGGCCCTTTGCAGCTGAGGGTCACATGACCACACCTACCTTAAATTAATCAGCTATCAAAAAATAATGTTCAGAAATGGAAAGAGCAGGTTTATGTTGGTAAAATTTCAAAGTCTCAAGTCTAAATACTTCAAAAATGGCAGCAAATGTAAAATATTGATKTTTCTAAAGAAAMGTAGTACGTATGGAAAAAATACAACTGGAGAGCAAGCCTTGCTTGAAGGAAAGATTTTTTTAGTCTTTTTTGTTCTCGCGCATGCTTTCCGTCTCATTTGTATCATACGCCATATTGGAATTTGTCACGTGATCTAGTAAGACACGGGGTGACCATTAATGCTAGTGCCCAGACTCTTTTCTGATAAAATTTTGAGCGCCTGGTACATTTGTGAAGCCCAAAACTATATTCGGAAAATTATAAGCAAGTTTGGGAGCATTTTTTTTATAAAAAAAAAAACAAAAAAAAAACAGTCAAGGCACCACAAAAAACATCTWTTTTAAGTTGAAGGCAATTCGTCTTAAAAAAATGGTATAACATTGAAAAAAATCATGAATTATGCGGGATTATGCGCAATTTAATAAATTATGCGGAAAGGGGGCAATTATGCGCGTCCGCATCCACTCATAATTCCAACATGCCTGCTATAAGTGTTGAGACTTTCCATTTCATCTGAACATCATTTTTTGATAGCTGATTGATTTAAGGTAGGTGTGGTCATGTGACCCCCAGATGCAACAGGGCTATTGTTTGGACCCAAAGTCAGGGTTTGACCATGACATGTCTATTTTTRCCATTAAGAGAGTAAATAAGGTTAATATACATGAAGAGATTATGTCAATTGGACCATGGTCATCATGTATCTGTTACCTATAATAGTATCATGACTAGTTTCAAGGTAGATGGTGTGCTTCTTTTTCGAGTATGGCAAGGTTCTGTGATTGTTTGCCTTGTGTCCTTTTTGTCCACAAATATAGCATTTTACTTGAGGTGGTTCTGTCAGTGTATTGAATTAAATAGGCAATTAAATTATTAAACATAAATTCAATATATAGGCTGTCACTGATGTGAATGACAGCTGCTGATACCCTAATTAAAGAGCCTGCTCACACAACTTAGTAAACAAGCAATAGTTGTCTTTGAGCAGCTGAGATTTCAAATCAATGATTTCAAGTTTATCGATAGTCCTTATTTTATGTCTGACAAAACAATAACATTTTCCTCTTTTTATTCTCAAAAACTTGATTCCACAACTCACTTTAAATCAATTAGGTGATATATTTTAAACTTATATTGTTGTTGGAGAAAAGTCTGCTTTCACATTTGGAGTTTGTAAATCAGTTGCTTGATAGACATATCGTCTTTTACTTCTGTCTGCAACCTTGTTAGAAAGAGTCTAATGCTTGTGCAGGTGACAGTTCGCCAATATACACCTTTACCATAATGGCCGCCATCTAATTAACATAAATTTTTAAAATTTCGAATTTTAGTAAATTAAAGTAAACTGACAGTTGGTAGGAACCTGTGCTAATAACAAAATATATAAGTTTGAAATGAAAATATTAAATTCTGGTGAAGTTATAAGGATTTAAAATATATCATAACACCAGAACGAGGCTATAAAGGCCTTGGCTCAAAATTACATTTCTTGTATTTTCATTTGGCCATAAATGTATCTGCAGCTCTGTAAAACTTTCCAAAAATGTTTATTTCTGGTAGGTCATTCACATGACAGTGACAAAAAGTTTTAACATATTTCATTTTCAGAAACAAATAGACAGACAGCCATTGGTGTCATTCGACATTTCTTTTCATTTCACCGTAACTTTTTTCCTTTTTTGTCCAGAATTCTAAAACGTTCCAAAAACGTTTATTTCTGATAGTTCTTTGATGTTACATTGACAAAATATTGATTATATCTACCTTATTTTGGAAAAACACAAATTCAGCCATTATGGTGAAGGTGTACTGTATTGGCCAAGGAAACATTAGAGAGTTTTGCTTAAATAGATGACAGTTAAAACCAGACTCATACATTATTGTCAAAAATAAAGACGACATAAATACCTGATTTGCGCTTGTATTCACAATGCCCATACGCACGTTCATATACTTTGGCTATTTCATCTTTATCAATGCCATCATCTACATTTTCAGGTGCTTGTGAAAATGACGGTTGGGGATCTAGTAAGAAGCAATACATTTAGTATCATTAGGGTTATGTTATCATTATGAGCGGGAGACCTTTGTGGGTATATGAAACTGATGAATTTGATAAGGCTTTAGTCGTCAAAACTTTTGCCTCCATCCATAACATGCAACCTGCYAAAGTTGTCTTGTAACAAATTGCCAATTCTTGATCACAGATCAATTCTATAAACTGTCACATAAATGAATGACATGATTAGCATGACAACTGTGTACCCGACTTTTAAGAGAGAGAATATCGAGGGCATGTGAATTAATATATGTGAATTCTATAAGTCTTATGCTTCAGCCCGAGTAAACACTCTGATCTGAAGGTGTCTAAGTTTTTACTTGACTTAATCCTTTCTTTTGAGGGCTGCAGAAAACATGCTTTCTGTTTCGGTTTTAACCGCGAAAAGGTCTATTGGCATGTCTAATGTGATAGTTTATAGGCAAAAGTTTTGGTCAAACTGTCAAACTCTTCATGCAGGGGGCGTACAAAATGGGGATGAAGTGACTTAGACTACAAAATCATGTTTACCTTGKTTTTTTGGCGGTAAGGTGTGATCTGTAGGAATCCACGGGTATTGAGTTTTGATACTGTGTCTTAAGATCTCGTTAAACCTCGCATTGAAATCCATTTTCTTGACACAATTAGCAGTAAGGTTAAAAGTTAAGTTAAGTTAATATTCTTCATAGTAATCTCACAAGTAAGACTTAAGCGACATGCCGAAGTCATCCAGAAACATTCAGCTAAAAAATAGCACAAAAACACTTTGCCCTTTTTAGATTCTGTAATTTACTCRTTGTAACTACTAGGGAAACCAAAATTTGTGCTAAATAACATTAAATATGAAGCGACATTGTTAAAAAACCTACCTGATGAAGTGAATTGCTACATTCACATGTGTCCCATCTACAAGCAATTTCGCACGCGCGCGACCCACCTSGGCGCGACCCGTCCAGAAATGGCGCCAACACAGGCAACCCAAACATTTTCTTTACATAATCCGAAAATACGGAAGAAACAAAGACATAGCATTTTCAAAGCCAAACATAGTCTGTACTATGGTACCAATTATTAATTTGTTTTGTTTTTCTTTCCAGGGAGAGAAGAATTTYCATATTTTCTACCAATTTCTTGGAGGTACTTCACAAGAAAATCTGGAAAAGTATTATCTATCCACGCCCGCCTTCCACAGGTAAGCCTAATATAGTCTATATAACGTTTAGTTAAAAGTTTACAAATAATAAAGATAATTTTTTGAATAAATCATATCCACTGACGCTCAAGTTACGTAGTAAAAGTGTTTTATAGCTAAAAACAAGCGAAAAAAAATACCAGCTCACTGGTAAAACGGTAGCGTTGTTGTTGATGTTTTCTATTTCTATTATGGTGTTAAAAAGAATGTGGTTTCCGTTATGTATAAAAAAATGGTTCTTCCGTAAATTTATAGCGACTTTTGTCATCTTGACAGTACTATCCAATTCGTAAAAAATGACATCACTGAGGTCATTGGTATTAATATATTCATGCATTTGATGCCATATCAATACAATGATCCTTCGCAAAACATGTCATTTTCAAATTGTGTAGAAGGCCATGTTCTCTGTGCTTTGCGAGTAAAAACTGAACTAAGGATTTGAGGATTTTGCAGATAGAAAGTTAAGCACAGAAACGTATTCTCAAAGGATGCAGACCACTTTAGTACCTAGCTCCCGCGCACGCACCATAGTCAACTATGGCACGCACAGTCATTTGATACTGCACATTGTATTAAACAGGGCGCTCATTATTTGCTCCTTCAGATAATCCTTCATGCCCAGAAGTACATARCCATATCTACTTCTGTTCATAAGAAAGACAGTCAGAAATCAGTCTAAGTTGTGAMATGCGAATTCTAGGTTTATTTCCTATTCATAACATAAAACAATTAGCCATTTTGTGTTCCAGTTGCCTTTTTCCCGTTTTTCTTCAAGTTCTTCAGCTAGAGTGTCTTCTTGGCCAGCGGTAAACGTCAAAAAAATTGTGGTGTAGCTAACGCTGGACTGTATGGTCGTCCGCTGGCCGGATTTAAGTTTTCCCAGTAAGATCTGTTTGCACGATTTCTGACCCGGGGGTTAGTGTGTTGTCGTAGATTTTCACCCCACATTTCGTCTTTAGCACTTGAGGGAGGTAGTTTACCACGCTCTTTACTCAGCTGCAAAATTGATTCAATATATGTTTATTGATATTTGGAATAATACCAAACCGTAAATAAATAATTCAGCTACTATACAATATACATGTACTATACTTTATCGCCATTATGACACACCTAGTATGCAACACATATGTGCATCCATTTAATATTTCTGTAGTGTGTCAATACAATTTAATGTCTTCCAATTATTTTTTGTTTCTCAGTTCTACCACACCGGTGTCTTTCGCTTGAATTAAATTTCCAGATCAATTTCCAATTGCCAAATTTCCAAATTCAGCTGCGAATTCGCGATTTTTCTTTTCTTGAATGGGCCTGCAACCTTCAACCTCCTCTACATTCCCGCCCCCTTGAAGGAATCCTCTATTATAGTTTTGCGTTTTGCTTTTTAAAATACGGTCGCCTATTGCTTCCGATTTTTCTGCTATATAGTTCTTTATTCTAACAACGYCAATGACGGAGTACCTCTTGAGCAATTGCCCGGATGTGGTAAGCTTCAAAGCCACAACAGCCTCCAATGTACCGTACACCAAGGTTGTAGGCTTCTCTTGCGTATTTATAGACATCGAAACGAGTCACTGTACGAGGTTCCATTGCTGTTGAATAAATGATTGTTTCAGAACCGACCTCCAGAAACACAGSCWMWGSMTWYRAWWWTYSKTWRTGACTAATGTGCACGATTGAAAGCCTATCTAATCTCTCCAGACTTTTTTTTTCACTCTTTCTCATTCGTCTCCTATAATACAGGTTATTACAACTAAAAACTTTGTATCACAATCTTTTAAGTTTGAATATTTTTTTGCACCTCAGTGGACGCGATGTTTCAATCAATAAATCACGTTTATCTGGGAAAACAAATCTTATCAAAGCAAAACTTCAATTTTTAAAAATTTGATTATACTGAGTACAGGGTAGTAACGTGGTATATAGCTTTTGCCGTGATATCCGATCTAAGTAGCCAGGAAGCCCTACGAAAKGGTAGGCTACGAAGGAGACCACGATCCGAGGGCTAAATCTACGATCCTTGATCCCAATGAATCACGAAAATTTGTCAATCCTTTAAGAACATTATGATCACGATTCCGATAGACCCTGATCCCGATTCAAAACCTGAAGATCTGATCCATGGCCAAACAAATTAGAAAAATGTAAAATTTAAATTATGATACAAGAGTTGTTTAGCTTGAATTTGCCAGTCGTTGAAATACCTAAAGGAAACTCAGGTGACCATGGAAATCCTCCTTTAACTTCTGGTGTTAAGTATCCTATCGGCTGAATCATGAGRTGCTTTTTGATTCCAGCCTTTTCCAGACCTTCTTTCATCATACGTAGAATTTTTACCGAACGGTGTGGACCATAGAAACAATTGATACCGACTATATCAGCACCTACAGATAAGTTCAAATTATAAAACAATTTACAAAATAACTATTATTCATGTGCACCTACTTGCAGAAAGGAAGATCACTGAGGCTGAACGCTTTCTTTTGTCTTGTTTTAATTTATTCCTTTTTACTAAATTCAAATGTTCTATTTTCTATGACAACGTTTCTGCAAGTAGGTGTAACGTGTGCATTAGTTCGTAAAAAAAGAGCATTCCTCATTAGTTTCGCTTATTCAGTAATTCAACAAGGCGGCGATATTAATTCTCGAGGGATTGTTGATCATGTGGTTGAAACCCAAGAATTGTAAAAACTGAGAATGTTTTTCTAGCAAGACCGATATCCACGGCCTCTAATTGTGGTGGATCAATTGGCCATGTATCAAAACCATGCTATTATGTGGCATATGATATAATCATGTTTCCTACCTGCTTTGGCCACTCGTACAGCGCATTCATCTGGTAATACGCCATCAAGATCCCCAATTTCAGATATCGAAACACACATTGCCACTGGAAGACCAGATTTCTTGCACTGTTCCGTAGCCCAAACGGCTTCCTCAACGTGATTAAAGGTCTTAAAAATCAAGAACACAAAAACCTGAAAT